TTTGTAAGTGGGCAAACCTGCAAAATCAGCAAGGGGTCAAATACTTACTTCCCCCACCGTAATAGAGGACAGAAAAGGAATATATACGATATATATATGTATTTTGTATTCACTTATCCGAGATGCCTCTTATAAAACCCTTCCTCTTGAACGTGTGTGGTCTAGTGAAATAGAGCGATTCATTGAACTGGGACAGGACATGGTCGTCAATTGTCCATCATAAGATACGTTTAAATTATATCCACAGGTAGGGTTCTCAAAAGTATTGATACTAAAAACGTTGTATCCGGATACGATACTCATTTTCAAAAGTATCGATACCACCCCCCACCCCCATTTACGTTGTTTTCTCTCTGATTTATTTATGTATTTATTTACGTTGTTTATGATCATTAACGTGACGTTAGCCTTGAATTGCTAGCTGCGGCTAATGGCTAATAATAACAACACGCCAACATTAATCAAGTCTGTAGGAAGCCAAGGATGGATATCCAGCTCCGCCCACATTCAAGTCGGCCATTTTGATTAGGTCACCAATAGGAAGATCCCAGGCAAGAAAATCCTAATTGCTTCATGGCAATATAGACATTAATTTAAAAATAGTGAAATGAATCTTGCAAACAGTGAATTAAACTCTATCCATAATATTATGTTAAAACAGTGGATGTTAACCTCCTGAGACCCTGTGTCCTCATAAGAGGACGTTACATTTTTGTCTCTCTTTACCATGATACTTCTTTTTTTCTTTCAGCTTTGACCTCTTGACCTCATAGCAGATGCTATCAGACACTGTTTGAAATCTAAAGTAAAATGGTTTTATACATTTCCATCCAATCATGTTCTTATTGTGTAATAGAAAAACTGTAAATGAGTCAATGGGACTGTCAGAACAAAATTGTAAAAACATTTAATTAAATATGTATCTCATATATCTTTAAAAAAAAAGCTAAAATGCATGCCAAATAAAAGCTCGGGTCTCAGGAGGTTAAATAGGTTTGTACAATAAGTCCAAACAAGTTTAACCACAAAATATTTATTTCTCACAATTATGAAGAGTGGAGGGTCAGGGTTAGGGTCAGGCTCATTAATGTGGGCCACCGGCCTCGATAACATCAGTAATAATCATTAGGTTTTAAACCAAAGACACTAACCCGTCAAAATTACCTGACTTCTGGTATCGAAAATGGTATCAACTACCGGATATTTTCCTGAGTATTTCCTGAGTATCAGTTACGAGTTGAAATTTTTATTTACATATGTTCTGGGAATGAAAGGATGTGAGGTTTTTCTGGGGTGAGGTTTGCTCTACTTTATCTAACGTGCTGGAGGTGGATGTACCATGTTCTCCCGTTGTGTTACTCCTGAATGATACCACCTCATTAAAATCGACATGCTGGAAAAGACATATTCTCCTAACCGGCATAAATATTCCGGCTTTAGGCTGGAAACCTCCACATACAGTTACCAAGCCCCAATGGATTAACACACACACTTACTTAATAAAATCCCTTTAAAGCCAGATCCAAGAAAAATAGGAAGAATATTGGATTTTTTTAGTCTGAAGTCTTTCTTTGGCCCCTCAACAACACATGAAGAAAAAAACAGAAATTATTTTGATCAAATTAGCATGCAAAAAGTAAAAAAATATATGTTGGTGTAGTCTTCTACTGGCTGTTATCAGGTATATCTGAATGTGTACAACAGGGGTTTGAGCAAAGCTTTTACCACTGAATGATGCAAAAAGTCTCAGATCCAAAAGACTTCAGAAACCGGATCAAATATGACACATATGACACTATTATAGGGATCTGGATCTCTCAGTGGCAGGAATGCAGGCTGCTGGAGCTAATACTAACCAAGCATGGTAAACAATGGCGGATAAGATCCAGGAATTCCTGTAATCACTATTTTTGATTACATATGCTGTTGGAATATGGTTGCTTAGGTCCTGTAAGAGTCCTATAGAGATCCATGCTGGGGGTTGGCCTGGTTTCCTTTTATTTATTTATTTATTTCTGTTTCTTATGTGTTCTTTCCTGTTGTATTAGGTTGCAATCTACCCTTTTACATTTATCTGACTAATGTAGCTGTTTCTATTTAACCTTTAAAGCCTGATCCAAGAATAAAGCAAAACAGAAAATTACTTTTTTTTTGGTTTGAAGTCTTTATTTGGCCTTTTAACAAAATATTTCAAAAGAAAAAACAGAAATACATTTTTAATATCAATAATTTATTACTATGGGATAAGTCAGGATTATGTTTTGTGTAGTCTTCTGCCCCCTGTTATCAGGTGTATCTGATTGTGTACAATAAGATTTTGATCTGAATTAAATTATGCAAAAGGTGTCAGAAACAAAACATTTCAGAAACATCTCTACTTATCTATCTACATTTACATTCATGTCTACCCTTCTCTGATCCGTTTTTCTCTTTATACTTTTTTTTTATTTATACATTTTTTTAATGATCTTTTTTTATTTGTTTATTTGTTTTTTTGGCCTGTGGGTGGTCAGGGTGGATTGGGGGTTGACAGAACTGTGACATTGAGATTGTATTGACACTTTGAATTGGTCCCAAAAATGTCCGTCTTATGTTGAAAATGTTAATAAAATAATAAACAAAGTTTAAAATAATAAAAATAAAAAATTTCCGAAACCGTCTGAACCAAATATGACACATTTGGCATTACAGGGTTAAAATAATACAAAAGTGGGCAAGTGAGGGGCCCGGAGGGTGCGGGGGCCGCTCTGTTTTGCGAGTAGTAAACACGCTTTGTTTACTAGTAAACATGTTTTGTTTATCCAAGGCAGTGGATCAGCCAGTTCCCGGCGGTGTTCGAGGCGGACCCCCTCCTGGAGCAGACCATGGGGGACCTGTGTGCTCTGGTCCGCCTGGACGGAGGGAAAACTCACTCCCAGCTCATCGACACCTCCGGCCTGTGAGCAATCCCGCCTTTTCTCACACAAAACACAACACAAAAACAGGTTTAGCCAAAAATAGAGCGGCCTCCGTTGTGTTTACGCTCCGTTATTATCTCCTTTCTTGGCTCTCCTTTCCCAGAAGCCCCCATGAGAACGTGTCCCAGGCACCTTCACCCTCCGTGAAGAAGAGGAAGGTGTCTCTGATCTTCGACCACATGGAGCCCAACGAGATGGCCGCGCACCTCAGCTACCTGGAGTTTAAGAATTTCTGCAATGTCTCGGTAGGTTCGGCTATTTGAAGTGTTTTAGGATAATCGGATAAATGCGGCAGCTCTCTCTCAGCCTGGAGAAAATCCAGAACTAACACAGTTTAGACTTTAAAAAAATCCAACCACCAAGTCCAAAAGTATCCTGATCAGCACTTTTCCCCAGAAAATAAGACGGATTAAATGCGTCATATAGTCAGTCACAGAGCATTAGTGAGCACAGAAATATGAGAAAAATGCAGATATACCAACAGAAAAACAGAACATTCAGCTGTTTACTACAAAGGGAGAAACTTCTGAGGGATGTTAACAGGCCTCGTCTTCCCCAAACTGAGAACTCATGCGAGTAGGTGACTTTGTTTTTTTGTGTTAATATTTTTATTAGGAGAAAGATCGACATTACAAACATATTTTAAACTATAAATGACAAGGTATGCCATATCGAACAAACATATATATGGATAGTAAAATAGTAAAATGGTAAAGGGCATACAATTTAGCTCCTATGGGTTTTTTTTTTCCTTACAAAACTGAACAGGATACAATGTATACAAACTTAATAAAGAAATAAGAAAGAAGGGGGAAAAGAAATAAAATAAAGTAAAATAAATAAATAAATAAATAAATAAATAAATAGAATAAAAAGAAGTAAATAAACAAAATTAAAATTAAAGTTAAGGGTGGGGTGACTTTGTTTTGAGGTAATTTGTGTGCTACCTTTACAAAAAACCCACAGAGGCTTCCTCTAAACTGTGTATGCAAACAGCAAAGCAGCAAATTAGACCAACGTATCGATGCTTTTCTCCTAATTCCGAGCACTCGGCTGTAAAACAATGGGCGTTTGAGGTGGACTGACTTTTGTGCGTCAGAAATAAGAACACAAGGCAGGACTTTACAAAAATAATAGATTAATTACAAAATTAATTAATTAATAAACAAAAACTTTAATTAAACAAAAGCGCACTCGCTGGGAGTTGAAAGGTTAAGTACAAAATAATAATCACTCTAACGATGCACAACTAAACTGTAGACAAAGTACAAAATAAACTCACTCTGACGAGGAAACGCAAAGAAGGGTTCAAGAGACGAGGGAAGGGACCCCCAGGTGAACACGATCAGGAATCAGGGAAGATAATCAGACATGTGACACACAGGGGAGTGCCAGAGACCTGAAAAAAGGGGGTGTACCTTTCAAAATAAAACAGGAAATGACAAGACAACCATGGAGACAGGACAAAATTACCCAAAAATGTGAGCCTGTTATCCTCCTGTGAGCCCAGCTTCCATCTGGTGTTCACTAGTTAGATAACCAGACTCTGTCATGGTAGTTTTTCATCATATAGACACAGTCAACTTTGTGTTTAATTTGATTCTGAAGGTCATAATGACTTCATTATAAAATCTAAATGACACAGTAAAGACACATGAAACCACCAGTCTGAGGAGGATAAGGATAATAAAGGCTGTTTTGGACAATAAAAGGAACAATATGGAGGGAGGCCTCAGCCTGAGTTCAGATTTCTGTGTGATGGTTTTATGGCCGAGTGACTCTTTAATATTTCTTGCTAAAAGAAAGATAAACGTGCCCATGAATACCAGCTGGTCCTCAGTCAGGGCACCCAGGACGCTGAGAACTCCTTAGAGCCCCAGCCCCCCAAAATGCACCCAAACACCCCCAAAGTGCACCTTAACCTCCAAAAGTGCACCTCAACCCCCCCCAAATGCACTTAAAACCCCCACAAAAGGGCACCTAAAGCCCCAAAAGTGCACCTTAACCACCAAAAGTGCACCTAAATCCCCCCAAAACGCACCTAAACTCCCCAAAAATGCACCAAAAAACCCCAAAAAACACACTACCC